TCTTGCTATATCATCGTCTACAAAACCTTCAAGTTTCAAACCACCAACTGTGAAGGGAAGACAAGTCTTTAAGGAACTTTTTAAGTATCTCATAATCCATTTTACTGCCTCCTAATGCTGCTTTCCAGTATTGTTTATATATCGGCTTACAACTGCCACTACATGGGTAATGTTTGGTCTGGTACAAACCATAACATATATTAAAGAGCTGATAAATGAGGCATATGGAATCTTATCCATGTATCCACATTCTAGCTCAGTTTTTGGCGATTGATCTTTGCTGAGCTGGAAATGATTTCCCAGAAGTATACTTATTGGTTTAGCATTATCCATATTAAACCTGCTGAGAACCTTTTTGACATACTCTGTTTGTGAAAGCTTTAATATGCCTTTGTCTTCATCTATGATGATTCTCATGTCAAGTATTTGTTTAGTAGCTCCCAAATCCTTCATTTCAAACTGTTTTGACAATTGCTGTTTTAACTTGTTAATCTCTTCAATGCTGAATCTTGCTATCAATATATCATCTACATATAATAGTAAAATGATGTAAGAGTTGTTAAAATATTTGACATAGCAATAATGATCAGCCTGGCATCTTGTGTACCCCGAATTGTATATAAAATTGTCAAACTTCTTATACCACTGTTTTGGAGCTTGCTTCAAACCATATAGGCTTTTCTTTAGCTTTCATACTTGATTTTTCTTTCTTTATATTGCAAACCCCTCTAGTTATTGTATATAAATGTCTTCCTCCAAGTCACCGTGAAGAAATACTATTTTTACATCTAGTTGTTCAAGATGTAAATTTTTTGTAGCTACTATCCCTATAATAACTCTGATTGTTGTGTCCTTCACAACTAGAGAAAATATCTCAGAGTAGTCAATCTCTATCTTTTATTAAAACCCTTTTACAATAAGTCTTACCTTGAACTGTTTGCTTCCGTCATGCTTAGTCTTTACTCTGTAAACCCCTTTATTTTGCAAAGCCTTTTTTCCTTCAGGTAGTGTGGTTAGTTCCCAAGTCTTGTTCTTCAACAAAGAATCCATCTCATCCTTCATGTCTAACTCCCACTTGCTTCATCTTGTAATGATTCTTCATAAGTTTGTGGTTCACCACCATCTGTTAATAGAATATAATTCAGTAGAAGTGTGAACCGTTGTGAGGGCTTTACAGTCCTTGAAGACCTGCGAACATAAACAATAAGTTCTCTTGCCTCTATATCTTCCTATGTAGTAATGGGTACAAATATGCTTGAATTTTCTTGTAAGGCTCTGAATTTTGTTCTACTTGGTAACATTAGGAAGTCCTTTTAATCTTATGAATTCAGATTTTTATAGACTTGTATTTGAATCAGCTATATTAGTTTCTACACTTGATCTGTCTTTGTACAAAACTTTCTCATTGAAGATCATGTTCCTGTTCTAATAATCTTTATGTTATGATCATCCTAAAACCAAAATCCAAATTCTTCATCTTCATATCCGATGAAGAAACATTTTTTGGATTTGACATTTAGCTTGTTGTGAGCATCAGAATCTATATAAACATAGAAAACATACCCAAAGACCTTTAGATGAGAGAGTTGTATTTCTTTTCCTCTCCATACTTCCTCGGGCAATCTAAATTCCAAAGGAACTGATGGTCCATGGTTGATCAACTATAGTATAAACTGTGTCAGCCCCTAATGTTTGAGGTAACCCTGAATGCAACCTTATGCTTCTAGCTCGTTTATTGATAATATTGTTCATCCGTTAAGCAATGCTCTTTTGTTGTGGTGTGCCTGGAACAATCTTTTCCATTTTGATACCATTGACAATACAATACTCTTTGAAACCTCCATCAATGTATTCTCCTCTATTATTAGATCTCAAGCATTTCAACTTTAAACTTGATTCAATTTCAACCATAGCTTTTTATTTCTTGAATATTTCAAACACATTAGGTTTATTTTTTAGAAAGTAGACCCATACCTTTCTACTGAAATCATCAATAAAAGTCACATAATACCGAGAACCTTTAAGAGATGTTACTAGATAAGGTCCTTATAAATTTGTGTGTACCAGTTCTAGCTTTCTTAGTCTTAAGGTCTTGTCAACCTTTAAGAAACTGAGCTTCTGCTATTTTTCAAGAACACAACTTTCACAAATATCTAAATCAACATTTTTTTTAGCTCTAGTAGGTTTCCCTTCGACTAAAGTATCTTCATCCCCTTTTGACTTATAAGGCCGAGTCTATAATGTCATAGCTGTGTTTGTTTTTTTTGCTTCAGTAGAGGCAATGATATCTGCAAATCTTATGGTCATATACAAGGTGTTGGTTTTCTTTTCATAAGCGAAAACCATTGTTTCCTTCGATACTTTCCACATACCTCTAAAAAAAAAGATTGAATGACCACTATTGTCAAGCTGTCTAACAAAGATCAGTTTCTTCTTTAATCCAGGAACATGTCTTACATTTTATAAGTTCCATATAGCTCTATTCATCGTCTTGATTTGCCCATCTCCTATGCCCATGATATTCATTAGTTGTCCATCGGTTAGATAAACTAAACCGTGATCTCTAGCGATATAGTTTTGTATAATTTTATGGTGTGGTGTACAGTGAAATGAAACACCAGAATCAAAAATCCAGTATCAATTGGACTTTGTACAGTAAGAATCAAAGCATCTTGTACCTTATCTGTGGCAGCATTCGTAGAGTTAGCTTTAGGTTTTTTTAGTTTTATGTAACTCCTCATGTAATGACCAAGTCTAGCACAATTCCAACATTCAACCTATTTTCTAAGTCTAGACTTGCTTTTACTTTTGTATCTTAATTTTGATCCACCTCTAGATGAGCCTCTATCATATCTCCTTCCTCGAGTGTTGATATTAAAGGCTGAACCTGAACTTGAATTTGAACTTTCACCTAAGTCTTTTGTTTGTACTTTTTCAGCCAATCTCAAATGTCAACATATTTTAGTTTGGATTTTCTGGCTAAGTTACTCACGGCTATTCTCATACCTTCCCAAATTCTTGGAAGTGAAGCTAGCAAAATGAGTGCATGAATCTCATCATCAAACTCAATTTTAATAGATGACAATTGATTTGTGATGATATTGAAGTTGTTAAGATGTTGTGTGATAGAGGTGTTTTCTGTCATCTTCAAGTTCAATAATTTATTCATCAAGTGTACTTTATTATTTGCTGAGAGCTTCTCATACATCCCAAACAAAACTACCATTAATTTTACAGTGGATTTTTCTTTTATAACATTGTGAGAAACTCTTCTTGATAAGGATAACCGGATAATATCCGAAACCTATCTATCAAGAATTAGTCAATTTTCTTCTTACATATTCTCAGGTTTGCTCCCCAACATAGAAATATGAAGTTTCTTCCTATATAAATAGTCTTCAATTTGTATTTTTTTTTGATATCCAAAATCTATCCCATCAAATTTTTCAATTCCAACAGCCTTTATTCATCTACCATTTTTAACACTTCTTGGATTTGAATCTGCCGAATCTGACCTTACGAATGTGTCCGGAATGGAAAAAAATATTGGAAACGACACTTAAATCAGGCAAATCAGACTTTAGATGGCTCAAATCTTATCAATCAAACTTTTAGATCACTAGACGGTGCAAATGAAGCCGTGTGTTAGTTGGAATAGTGTCTGCGGCGCACTACATCAAAACCCAATATGCTAACGTGGCTATGATGACGTGTCAGACAAGTAAGCAATACAGGCCCACAATTGATTACGTGGCAGATCCACATGGATTTTCTAGCAGATATGCTGTTTACTGATGTCGTGTCAGGTGACGTGGCTGATGATTGTGTAGAATTACTGCTGTGGCTGCTGACTGGATAATGATGTGTTGGGTGAACTTGGTTTAGTTGTAGGTATTCAGGTAAAAAAGGAGCATATGACGCGTGTGGGCAGTCCTAACGTCGGCGCGCATGGGCATGCAGGACATCTATTCTTGCCAGGTTTTCACTAGTGGATTCGTCTTGTCTTCCCCTAAACGATGGTATGTTCAAAAACATATTTTTAGAACTTTGATTTTTGAGTTTGGATCAAACACCCTTTTTTTTTTTTTTAAGAACAAGCTCTGATATCAGTTGTTAGGTCATTCCAGAAATCAAACATACATAAATTTAAGAGGTTCGTCAACTTGCCTACTCCACGGAGCTACTGATTTGTATTAATCAATCAAAGAAGCAATATAAATAAAAAGGAGGAGAAAAAACTCTTCTCTACTCAACTTACTCTCACTCAAATTCTCTCTATCTTCTTCACTCTCTCTATGTTCTTCACACATGCAACTCTTCACTGAGTGTATATATATAAACTAAGTTGGGAGCAAAGGCCATAAATCATGCCATGATTTATGCCTTAAATTAAGTCTTCATTATATACTAAGTAGGAGATTAGTTATTTCCACTTGTATATAATAAAGGTGGAGCATTATTTGTCTCTAGTAGTAATAGTGTTCTGGTTTTCCTTTGTTACCCTCGGATAGAAGCTCACCTTTTCTCTTTTTCTTCTTCTTTTTTATTTGTTTCATTTATCTACAATGCGAGCTAGAAATCATGTTCCATTTAGAAAAAGCTCATTTCATGCTGGAAGAGATTGTCATGAATCGTTTGCATTGACGAGACAAGCAACTCTAACATTCTGAGCCCGATAATTATACTGATGGATAAGATAACTTCAATGACTGGTCAGGTGCTATCGTTCTTTCTTGGATTCTTGATGAGCTAGCATTTTAGTTTATCCTGTTGTGTATAAATAAGCTTGAACACAGACATTTCCCATGAAAAACATTGTGTTGATTTTATTGTTGTAATGGTAAAATACTCTGCTGTCTTTAACACAATTTGGTTTTCATACCTTAATCATTCTGTCCATGTGTAAAGTTCAACTCTTAAGCTCAAGTTCTGTGTGTGTAATGGCTGCACTGTAGCGCCCTTAGCTCCATTCTAGAGGCATCCAATTCCAAGGTGAAGCATTTTTAAGTTGCAGTATCATCAGCCAACATCAAATTTGCTAACAAAATATACGTTTTTTTTAGAGTTACGCATAAATTGCCTAATCTTCTACAGAATAATAATGTTTCACAGCTGTATTTCCTGCCAATTGGCTACATTTCTTAAAAAACTGACAGATCAAATTGCTGCAGGCCTGCCATCTTTTCTTGGATCGCTCACTGCTGTGAGCGTTCCATGGAGAATTTGGGCATTTACAGAATCTCTCGAATTTTCGCTGTCCACGTGGATAGGGCTTTGGAGGGTCTGAACAACAAGCTGGACAATAGCTCCCCCTGCCTGAGCCAGCAACTGATGACCCCTTTCCTCCAAGAAAGCTTTTCTGTCCCCTGCAAGTTCTATGTGCTTGCCATCTATTACTGTCCAGTTTTCGTACAATACAGTATTGGGTATTAACTGCTCCAAATCAGATCACATGAAATGTCCAAGTATTAGACGGCATATCATATTTTACCCAGAGAGAAGATGAACATGAATTGACTGTTGAAGCAAGTTTCCTACCTTGTGATAGACCCTTGGACTCTCAACTGCAGTTAAAGGTTCCATCCCCAAGACAAAATGATTAAGAAAGACTTGTATCACCGCTGGAATGATGAAAAGTCCGCCACTACCACCCATGACCCCAGCTAGCTGATCGTCCTGTGGAGTTTACAAAAGTGAGATTACAATAAATGAGGAAGTTAGAGAGGATTTATGAAATTGATGACGATACATCTGATTCAAGACCAATGAGGTCGAAACTATTGCTGTTGAGCTGCACGAATTTCTAGCTTGGTAGAGAGTAATATATCTATATAAAGCCAAACCTTGGTGATAATAACAGGAGTCATGGAAGATAAAGGTCTCTTGTTGGGTTCAATAAAATTTGCTGGAGCAGGAGGCAGCATGTCAGGAGTTATCTCTGTGGGTGCTGAGAAATCACCCATCTCATTGTTGAGCAAAATTCCAGTGGAGGGCGAGAGAACTCCAGCTCCAAAACCATAATTTATTGTTGTTGTCATTGATACAGCATTTCGCTCTGCATCCACAACGCAAAAGTGGCTGGTTCCATGATCTCTAAGCTGACTCCACCTACTAATTAAGGTCTGAAATCTTTAGAATCATGACACAGTGACAATGATACCAGTAAAGCTTTATTTATAATCAGTAGCAAGTAGTCATACCTTTCCATATTCATGTAATATTCTGGAGGGAATGTGGTATTGTCCACTATCATTTTCTGTATTTTACCGGCGTAAGATTGGGAAAGCATTTCAGACATGTATTTGGCTGTGTTTACGAATGCAGGGTCCCCCAAGTTCATTCTAACAGCAAACATGTGCTTCATTGCTTCAATCAAGCGATGAAGACCAAGATTTCCCACTGCAGCTTTAGAACTTCCATAACTATTGAGGATGTTTAAGACCTGTTTTGCATCAGAATTTAGAGAAATCCAATTCACATAATTCAATAGCTTCACAACCATGAACAGTATTGTAGTCAAGAGTAAAATGCAATATCCAAATGCTGAAGTCAGCTCACTAATTAACCCTAGTTTTGTTGGACATCAGTCCTTCAAAGCCAGAGCAGAACAGCCAGAAGATCACTTGATTTTACAGAACAAAATGCTTGATTGACACAAATATGCATTCATAAGTGAGAAAATATAACCCACCAGAGACATTCCAAGTGTTCCACTTGAAGGTGGTGGCATTCCATATATAGTGTAGCCCGTAAAGTTTGCAGCTAAGGCATCCATTATATCCACCTTGTAATTCTTTAGATCTTCCATCGTTAGAATCCCACCAGCATCTCTGACATCTTTCACTAATTTCTCACCAACAGTGCCATTATAAAAGGCTTGTGGGCCTTGTTCTGCAACTGCTTCCAGGCTTTGGGCTAGCTCCAGATTAAAGCATTTATCACCAGCTTGTAACAACCTCCCATTTGGAGCGAACACTTGCTGCAACCCAGGATCATTCATGATTTTTTTGGCACATTTAGCAATGGAAGATGCAAGATAGGGAGCAACAACAAAACCATCCCTGGCAAGTTTTATGGCAGGTTGGAATAGAGTCCTCCAATTCAAACGGCCATGTTGCAGCCAAGCTTCATGGAGGCCAGCAATCTCGCCGGGAACTCCCATGGACAGGGCACCTGAATACTTGTTATTCAAGTTGTTTGCATACATATTCTATTCATGGACAAATACACCATAAAAGATGAATAAGCGGACCTTCAAAATGGGCGATGAACGTGCAATCCTGGTAAACAAAATTAAAAAAACAAAGTAGATGGAAGAAAATTCTAGTTGATTTTCTTTATTTTTTTCCCTGATGGATAGGATCTAGCGGATTTACTGGGACAAAGTGTGATGTAGAAAAGTTAGCAAGTGCTGATATTTTAGGTGAAAGAGAAGACTTTGAACCTGTGAAGCTGCCCCGGGAGCAGTTTCTCTCATGTCATAAGCTTGAGTTTTAGAAGTTGATGAAGACCTGACAATCATGAAAGCTCCACCTCCTATTCCACTCCCCACTGGATTAACAACACCAACGCACAAAGCAGTTGACACTGCAGCATCAACAGCATGCCCACCTTGTCTAAGCATTGATGCACCGATTTCAGAACACCGAGCATCATCAGCAGCAACAACACCTTGTTCTGACTCGACAATCTCAGCTTTGTTAACTTCAATCCTTTCACTGTAGTTTTTTCCTCCTCTCAGTACCCAACAAGTGAAGTGGGCTCCAAAAGTTAGCAGGCCTACAGCTGAAGTGCAAACAGTTTGCTTAGGGAGCATTAACTTGGATAATTATAGCATTTTCACGAACACTAGAAATGATAATCTGAACGTTTTGCATCTTATAGCAAAAGGCATACAGTCGTGCTCCAACAAATAATTAAAAAATGAGATAAAAATTAACAGATCTCGACAGAAACATTGATATAAGGAAATGGTGAGAACAAAAACATAGCATTTGCAATATTTGCCCAAATGAATGATTCTTTATAATTAAACATGGGTAATAACTTATCCTGTGAATCCCAGAACAACTATCTTGTTTTGGCTCTGCTAATCTGATTAAACATGCTGTTAGATGGCGGATTGTAATTGGCACAAATTATTGGATGGAGAGGGTTCCAATTATCCTGGAAACCCCACAGAACATGGAAGGAATTCTGAACAACTGTCATATATAAATATATATATGGAAGGAACAAAAACCAAACATACAAACATAGAGAGAGAGAGAGAGAGAGAGAGAGAGAGAGAGAGAGAGAGAGAGAGGGAGAGAGAGTGGTTAGTACTCGTAATAATGGTTACGGATGCAAGAAAGAAGCACAAAGCTTTGCGACTCCAATTCTTCTTGACATAAATATGATAATTTGTTGATGAGATATCAGTGCCCAATAGCGGAGCTACGATGCTCTGTCGCCCCATTATCCCTCCCTTCAACACTCAACAACAATTAGGTGTCTTGATGGAGTTTTACTGGTTGAACCAGAGACCTTTCTTTATTCCTGTGTTAGGCTGTGAGGAATAAAGAAATGAAGGTGTGGTATTTGAAGTAGATTCATATGTGTACACGATTAAAATAAGATTTTCACAGGAATCCTTCAAACTTTTTCACGATATGGCTAATGTGAATGGAATCTTCATTATCATTTTCTAGGATTTTTAATTTTGTCTTTTTTCAAGTTCTTCAATGTTTTATTAAGTATTTTGGGTTCTTTTCTTGGTTTTTCAAGTAGTTTTATATTTTTTTAAATTTAAAGTGCATAAATCAATCTTTCATATTTTAACTTTATTTTTATATCACCATATTTTCTAGGATTTTTAATTTTATCTTTTTTCAAGTTCTTCAATGTTTTATTAAGTATTTTGGGTTCTTTTCTTGGTTTTTCAAGTAGTTTTATATCTTTTTAAATCTAAAGTGCATAAATCAATCTTTCATATTTTTACTTTATTTTTTATATCATCATATTAAAACTATAAAAAAATACATAAAAAATCAATTTAATATTATTTTCATCTAAAAATTAATTTCAAAAATACTTTTTAAAATAGATTTTATCGAACATAGCCTTAACCGGAGCATGGAAGCCATCGGAGCAACGTTTGTTTTCTTTATAGCTTCCAAATTTAGCCACGGCAAGCAAATTACAAAACGGTCACTTTTGCATTTTGGGAGTAAAAGGTAGAAACCGGCTAATTTTAAATCCACACGGAAGGACAAGTATTATTATTATTATTATTATTATTATTATTTTGTTACATCATCCTGAACGATAGCTGCTTTGAAAAATGAAAATAATTGTACCAAAGCAATTAAACAATGTCGTAGACGGTGACGCCAAATAAATAGACCTCCACGAGTTCAAAGTAGAATAATGCACACAAAATAATTGAAAAGTACAAGGACGATTGAGTATTATTTGTAGTTTCCGAAGTTTCTTTTCCAATTTAAGAAAATAAAAAAAAAAGTTACTTTTTTAAAAATCAAATGCAATAATTATATTCCTTAAAGTTTTTTGTTACTTTTTTTCCAGTTTGGGATACAAATTTCAATTAAATTCCAACCTATAATTGCTTTGTCAAAATAATTAATCTAGTTAAATATGATTTGGTGTGAAAAATTTCATGCTACATCAGTATTTTAAAACAAGCAAGAAAGATTTAAAAGATTTAAGATTTAGTGACCCACAAAACAAACACAATGCTATAAAATAAATATTTCATACTTATACTTAATCAATTATTTAATTTAATTAAAAAATAAAAATACTTTTAAAAAACTAAATTCAATAAAGGCCTAAAAAAGAAACCTAAGGTACCCATTTTATCTTCTAAACAGTTAAAAATCTCATAAAAAATATTGAAAGATGAAATTTAAAAAAAAAGACAAGTTAAAAAAAAACCCAGGATAAATCTCTTAAATCTAAACCAATCTCTAATACCTACAATCGTTAAATTCTAAATCACAACTCAACTGAAAAGCTCAACAACCTATTAAATTATAAGCTCGGCCCAACCTTGAAGCTAAATACTCAAATAAATAAATGTTGAAGAATAAAATAATAAAAATATTAATTTTTAATATAAAAAAATAGCAATAAAAAGAATCAACTTTGATAGGCAAAAGAACTCAAGAATGATGAAATTGTAAAAAAATAATTAAAAATCATCATAAATAAAACAAATCATAATTAAAATAATAAGGACTATATTTGACAGATGAAAAAAGTCTATGGGGGATGAAATTGAAAAAAAATTCTAATTTCATAAATGATCTCCAACAAAAGAAATAGTAATAAAAAAAATAAAGATATAAAAGAAAATAAAATTGAAAAGTTGTGTTTGAAAGTTTGGAAAGCCAACATGAAAATCTACAAGGAAAAAAAGAAAAAAAGCCACACACATCAAACTAAAGACAATTAGACCACACAAGTCACTTAGGCATGGAGGGATCACTAAGAGGCTTCGGTTGCTTCCCTAGTAGTAGGCTTTTGGCCATCAAATGACGCCATATGCGATGTTCAAAGCTTGTGGTTGCTATTTATGACTCCAATTAAATTTGAGAATAAAAAATATAATCAAATTTAAAAGATTAAAGTACCTTTATACTAAAGGATAAATTTTTAAAATTTAAAGGAAAATAATTTAAATGTTTTTAAATTAAGTAAAAGATAGAAAAGCCCTTAATGTTATTTTCCTTTTCTTTTTCTTGTAATAAAAGTTAGATTAATAATTTTACAATTTAAAAAGAAAAAAAGGACTATAAAGCCTCTAGAGACATTTTAAACAAATGTATAAAGACCTTCTTGCCTCCATCTAATTCTTTGATGACTTTTTTAACATTAGAAAAAATCTATTATACCTCTTATACAAGGCTTAATGATTTTAGAGTGAAGGCCAAAATTATCACTTTACTATTGTAATTTATAATAAACTTACTCATAAGCTATAATAAAAACCAAGATTAAATGATTTATGAGTTGAGATACTTTTTAAAAAAGAATTTAGGTTTCTTTAATATAAATCATTCTTAATTTTCATTTAACAACTTGAATTTTTAAATTGAAATAATTTTTTGATATGATATTAAGATTTTTTTGATTAAGTGATCATGAATTTAAATTTCATCATGTTCATCCTCTCAAATTAAAATTAAAAGAAAAACTTTAGTATAAGTTTATAATTGATTTGTAAAAATTTTAATTTTAAAGAATTTTCACTTAAAAATATATTAAAAAGTGTTATAAAACCATTCATGTGAACTTATCAACAACTAAGACTAAATGATTATTTTACATATTTTTATGTAGCAAAAATGGAGGACAATTAACATCTTGGTTCATTTGAGCTTCAAATTTATATTGAGAGACATTTGTTTATGGCAATTAAAAATGTGATTAATATATTATTTGTATATGAAAGCAATTTATTAAAGAATTTAACATAAACTTTAAAATTGATAGATACATGAAAAGTATCTCGATTCTAAAGCACTAATCAATCCAAGTTAAACATTTCAATACTAAGAATATATAGATACAACTTAGAAAATAATTAAACTTGAACCCTAACATTAATAGATTCGTTGAACGTTAAAATTTTTTGATCTGGAAACCAAAAGACCTACTATATAAAAATATAGCACAACTGAATATGAACTTCAAAATTAATAAATTTGTTGTATGTTACGTAGCTAGTTATGTAGACTTTATAGACAGTTAAAGAATGACTTAACTATATTAAGGGTGATTGGGAAGTGCAATAATTGTATTTTTTTTACTTGGAAATATATTAAAAAAATATTAAATATAGCACATCAAAAAAATTTAAAAATATAAAAAGTAATTTTAAATAACATAAAAATAATTTTTACTATTTATTTAAATCGCAATTCCAAACATAAGATAAACCCTAACAAATCAAGTGCACAATCAACCACTAAATTAGCCACTAAACATCACACCAGTTTATAGACATACTCAAAACCTATAGCTTTATAACAATTATTTTTAATTTATTAATTTTATTTGATACATCACATAAATCCCTACATTTTTTTTTGGTAATTTAACCCCTAATCTCTTCATTTTAATTCTTCACTTATATTTTTGTGAATTGCATCAGTCAATCTTGTGATTTATTTTCTTATTATGTTGATGTGATGTGCATGTGATTTATATTATTTATCAAATTAAATCAATTAAAATACATGTAATTGACAAAATTTAGTTGAAGATACTTAATCTTGCTTGACGTGTCAAAAAGACTTTATGATCTTCATATGCATTGTTTATGATTCGTGCAATATGTGATTTTAGGGTTTTATAAGAGTTTTTATTTATTTTCTTTTAAGATTCCATGAATAGTTGAAAAGCCCAAGGGAAGATAATAATTGAAAAAAGAAATGATTAGGTCATGCTTAGATATAAGAATAGACAAACTATCTTTTGTAGAAAATTTGTTTGGTCTCACTTATGTCGAATTAGATATTGATGTCTCAATTGTTGTATTGAGATGGAGATAGAGCAAGATTCAATTTAATTTCCTTTAAAAGAAATTGTAATAAATAAAAAGAAAACAAAGAAAAAAAATAGAGTTTAATTATCATGCCATTTTCTTTCCAAAACATATATAATTTATGGGATAAAATTAAATATTTTTTTAAATTCAAAATCACTATAAAATCTTAATAAATGATCCAATAGATATTCATTAGTATTTAAAAGTGCATTTTTATCAATGTTTTATATCATCATTTTGCACTCGAAGTATCAATAACTCCTTAACTAAAGCATGTTTTATAATAACGTATCTAATAATATAAGATACCTTTAATTTGTGGTAAATATTCATTTTAAATGCAGGCCTATCACATAAATGAAAGGATTGATTGATGAATTTAAGAACTGAAATTGAAAGGACAAAGAGATGGCCAAACTTTGAAAAGAGATGTCGGTGTAATCCAAACCGGAATACTGTTCGGTAATTGGGTCATATCTGGAGCTATAGATCTCAGATTTAGGTCTACTTTATATAAATGGAAAGATAAGACATAGACCTATAACTTTTATATGGAGCCCAAGATCTAAAAATGTTATTTTCAAGTTTAAATTATAGCAACAACAAAGAAGTCTGAATCTGTCTTCCAACCTGAGCATTGTTCAGTGTTTGGCCCATATCTGGAGTTTTAGAAATCCAAATGAGCTGAATGTTTTACACAAGAAAGCTGAGATAATTTTCTACAACTTTCATTAAGTGGCTCTAATTTTGACATTATCAATGACGTTTTGGGTAGACAAAAGAAGATAAGGATTGTCACCAAGTCAAGAGTTGGTCACCCACTTATCAATTAGTCATCAAATCAATAGTTCTTAATTTTGGCCTATAAAAGGAGGCATTTGCCATGCATTTAGACATCTTGATTTTCAGATCAAGATCATGCTCTTGCTTTCTCTCTTTGTATTTGTTTGTAATGTTTATGCTTTGATTTCATTAATATCAAGTTTATGCCTTTCATTTCATTTCATTTACTTAGTTAACTTTTATCTTATTTATGTTTCTATTTTGTTTATTTATTTTTCTTTCTTTCATTATGTTTAGCTAAGTTTATTATGTCAAGGTGACAAGGTTACACTAATGGTGTAAGAATAAGTATAGTGTGAACTTAAAATGGACTTTAATGTTTGATACTAACATGTTTTGTATTTGTTATCTTGTTCACTCTTTAATACTTTGCTTGTTAAATGACTAATCTTGATTTATGTTGTATAACACTTCGTACAACAAATGCTTGGCACTTTCATAGTTCATACTGTATGGTATAACCGACACCTGAGTTATGAAAGGAACTTGATTTGTTGTTAACATAAGTTATAATCATGAATGCTCGACGAGATTTACAAGTATTAGCATTAATCGAATAAGATGACTAATGTAATCATGTTAACAATATATAATATGATTGGAACCTCCTTTGTGTGTGGTTTCCAATTGAATAATAAGAGTTTATACTATACTTGTTTGACATACCATTAGTGGATCCTCTAACCTTGACATTTGTTATTATCATCGTTTAATCCTTACATTAATATTCCATCTCCAAGTTCTCATCTTCTTCTTCTCTTTCTTTATTATTATTATTGTTGTTGTTGTTGTTGTTGTTGTTTATAATTGTTGTTTATAATTTGTACAATTAACCTCCATGTGGTTTAACCCCGGTCTTGCTGGGTTATTTATTACTTCGACACTCCTGCACTTGGAAGAAGACATCAATCTTTTGGTCGTGTCAAGTTTTTGGCGCTGTTGCCGGGGAGGTAAGTTCTTGTATAAATTATAGTATTTATTTTATTTTCTCTTTTCACTTTTCTTGTATATAACTTTGTTTCTTTTGTTTTGTTTGTCTTTATTTTGTTTTCTTCCTTCTTCTTTTGTTTTCTTCTTCCTTTTATTCTATTCCTACACGTGCATGAGAGTGTGGTCACATACATTAAGTGGTAGACTTTGTAGGGTATTCTCATTATTTTTAGAAAATATAGCCGAAGAAGATAATCAATCACTTTATAATGAGAATAATGAGAATAACCATGCTAGAACACTTAGAGACCACATGAATCCCACAAGAACAAGTGCACCATCATGCATAGTTTTTCCTCCCGATGCATCTCATTTTAATTTTAAGCTAGGTATTATTTAACTTTTACCTTCTTTTCATGGCTTAGAATTGGAAAATTCATACTTGCATTTAAGGGAATTTGAGGAGGTCTGCAACACATATAATAATTTAAATTATAGCATGAACACCATCAGATTAAAGCTTTTTCCTTTTTCATTAAAAGATAAAGTTAAAACATGACTACAAAATTTGAGACCACGATCCATTCATGCTTGGGATGAAATGCAACAACAGTTTTTAAAGAAGTTTTTCCCATCTCATAGAACAAACTCTTTCAAAAGACAAATCACCACTTTCACTCAAAAAAAGGAGAAACATTTTACCAATGTTGGAATAGGTATCGAGACTTGCTTAGTACTTGCCCTCATCATGGTTTTGAAATATGGAGATTGATTTCACATTTGTATGAAGGGTTAACACCTAGAGATAGGTAAATGGTTGAATTGATGTGCAATGAAACTTTTGAAGATAAAGACCCTGATGAAGCAATGGAGTACTTAGACTTGTTAGCTGAAAATGCTCAAAATTGGGACACCGTGGGTACTTATGAGGCACCAAGTAAAACTCAACCTCATACATCTAGTGGAGGTAGTACAACCTTCGGGAAGATCATGACCTTCAAGCTAAGTTTGCATCTTTAGCTAGAAAAGTCGAGGCAGTAGAATTGAAAAAGAATGGTCAATTAAAATCTGTTGCAAACATTGTGTGTCAAATATGTGAAACAAATAAACACTCAACCAATAATTGTCCAACCTTGCCTTCTTTTAAGGAGTGTCTCCATGAACAAGCCCATGCTTTAAATAGTTTTCAAAGGTCCAACCACAACCTATACTCCCAAACATACAACCCTGGTTGGAGAAATCACCCAAATTTCAGTTGGAAAAGTGATAGCAACAATGCACAAACTTCACAACCACCATTTCAAGCACACCATAATTTCCAAAATTCTCATGGATATGCACTTCCTTATGCTCCACCTCCTACAAGAAATCTTGAGGAAACATTGCATGCATTCATTGAAAAGCAAAAGACAATCAATACTTAACTTGCTCAAAACATGACAGATTTTAAAGATATTCTTGCAAAATTGATATCTGCTTTCAATTTCCAAGAGAAAGGTAAGTTTCCATCTCAACCACAACAAAATCCCATGGGGCAATACAATGCAAATGCAAGTAGTTCCGGAAGCCAACACATGGATCAAGTCAAATCAGTCACAACTCTTTGCAGTGGTAAGTTTATTGAAAAACCCACTCTTGAACCTTGTGAGAAAGATGATGAGTCAATCTCTAAGGGTAAGGAAGGGGTTGAATCTGAAAATTTTAAAGAAACGATTGATTCCCCGCTAGTACTTCCATTTTTTCATGTCATGACCAAACAAAGAAAAGTTAATCACAACTCTAAAATCTTTGAAACTTTCAAACAGGTAAGGATCAATATACTTTTGTTGGATGCTATTAAACAGGTTCCTTTTTATACTAATTTTTTTAAAGATCTATGCACGGTGAAGAGAAAACTAAATGTGAAAAAGAAAGCCTTTTTAGCCGAACAAGTAAGTGTTATTCTTCAGAACAATAATGCTTTGAAATATAAAGACCCTGGTTGTCCTACAATTTCTTGCTTTATTGGAGAACATAAAATTGAAAGAGCCTTACTTGATTTAGGTGCTAGTGTGAATTTACTTCCGTATTCAGTTTTTTAGAGTCCAAATCTAGGTGAGTTAAAACCAACTTCTATAACTCTTTTACTTGCTGATAGATCTATAAAAGTGTCTAGAGGAATAGTTGAAGATGTGTTAGTACAAGTCGATAAATTCATTTATCTTATGGATTTTATTGTCTTCGACACACAACCTGTTGAAGGATGTAATTCATTTCCTATTATTTTAGGACATTCGTTTCTTGCAACTTCTAACGCATTGATTAATTGTAGGAATGGACTGATGAAGCTATCATTTGGAAACATGACATTGGAGATGAATATTTTCAATATTTGCAAGCAACCTGGAGATGATAATGATTTACAAGAAGTAGATCATATTGATGAATTAGTTTATGATCAACTTGAATCTACTTTAAGTAAAAATGAGTTGGATGAATCTGAAGATTTGCAAATGGTTTATTCTGAGGAAGAAATCTTAAATGAAAAAAGCATCGAAAATGTTGATGCGGATCTTTTATCAAAAGTAACAACAAATTTGACATCTGACATCACACCAATCGATGATTACTTTCCTAACGAATCCTTACTTTCTCTTAGTCCTATGCCTTGGTATGATAAAAATATCAATTTTCTTGCTTTAGGAGATTTGCTAGCTAATTGGAGTACCCAAGACAAAGAAAAGTTTTTGAACAAAGTGAAGAACTTTTATTGTAATGACCCTAACTTATTCAAATATTGTCCTGATCAAATATTTCAAAGATTTATTCCCTACAATGAGGTAAGTAGTGTCATTAAACTTTGTCATTCTGAAGCATGTGGGAGTTATTTTTCATAAAAAAAGATAGCTGCAAAAATCTTTCAAAATGGATTTTATTGGCCCACCATGTTCAAGGATACGCATGCATTCTGCAAAACTTTTGAAAATTATCAAAAAGTTGATAATGGTCAAAACATTTTGTTTTACAATTCTCAACTCTATACATTCCCTATAGAGCTAAGATCAAGATGAAGCAATTGACACGACTAAAAGATTGATGTCTTCTCCCAAGTGCAGGAGTGTCGAAGTAATAAATAACTCGGCAAGACCGGGATCGAACCACAAGGAGGTTAATTGTACAAATTATAAACGACAATAGTACAACAACAACAATAATAATAGTAATAACAATAATAACAACAATGACAATAATAATAATAATAATAATAATAATAATAATAATAATAATAATAATAATAATAATAATAAT